GTCCTTGCAGTCAGTGCTATGGATGGGCGCAGTGTGGACTGGCTGCCGAACTGAAGCTTAGGCTGCAGTGGCTATTCAATCTTGCCTCTCTGGCGCACCCACTCAGATGGGTTCCGAGCCCACCACTATAATTACTTGGTCTATCGTGCGCGGACAAGGTCGTTTGTGGGGCCACGCGTATACGGGCTGTTTTGTTTCTTCAGCTACCACCCGATTCCGCTTTTGGTCTTGTCAGAAAGATGAAGGAGGAGCGAGTGCGGCAGATGCTGCGCAAGTCGGCATGACCTAAAATTAATTACCACGAAATGCACCGTCTTGCGCCGCCCATCACGCTGTCGGGTGACGGCCAAACCGGTGGATACCAGTCAGAAGAATAAGACCCGGACTACTACACATTTAGTCTAAGATGTGTGTCGTGCTTGGCTCTCTGTTTTTCGGCTACCAGGGGGGAGGGCCTAGATGTGACATCAATTCTTCCTCAGCGTACTAAATTTTCGCATCTCACGGCGACTTCAACAATGAGTTTGCTCCAGTAGATGCCCTTTGGACTTTTGGGGGTAAATGACTTAGTCGTTGTCTAGGTCCTAGATCAAGAAAATATTTGCGACTTATCACAGTACCTTTTTTCGTTACTAAGACCAACTAATCAATTAGTCTATATAACTCTTTTGAAACCTTTCAAAAATCTATTAGGAAGCTTTTGTGTTCCCAGGGCTCTCTGCATCGATGCCGGCAGTAGTATTTATAGGATAATACATGAATATTTCCCCACTGTGGATTGCGTTGATTGAAAAAGTTGAGACGGGAGAGTCGATACCCTTCTGCGTTTATCTACCAGAAACATTCACTTTATTCTCTCGATGCGGCTCCCTTTGCAGTTTGTGAACTGCAGCTCCAGAACTCCGCAAATCTCAGACTTATTTAACAACCCGATAGGCGGTTTTATGCTAAGGTGTAAAATGCTGATGGTATGACCCTGTTTGTATTGCCTTTTAGGTGGCAAGGACGATGCCGACTACGGTATCTCCAGTGAATCCTTTAAACGGCACCTGCACCGCGCCGGTGGCCGACTTCTGGCGCGTGTTTACACCCTCTTCTTCCTGCACTCTGAGATTGTCGGCCTGGAGCTTGCTGACCGTCTCTGTGAGGGAGAAGTTGATCATACCTCGTTTGCTCAACTGGCTGACAGTCTACCTCCGCTTAAAGGTATCCTACC